TACTTTTATGTGAAGGTTAGACAATAAATTAAGAAACTTCAGAATTCGGATCATATCTATTTTTTTTAAAATGATAAAACGAAATTGTCATCGTACAGTCTATCTACAACAGTTTTCCCAGAATGCCCGACCGTGAAGTCGAGCATGCGTATTCCAGAAATATAGACTAACGTAGTTGCTAGCGCTCTCGAATACTCAGGAGCAGAAATGAAGATTTTCAAAGAATTAGTGCATTTGTATTATATGAGAAATACAGCCCAACCCTAACTCCAGAACTCAAGTGTCAGGGGCAATGAATTTCACAATTTTGGAAAAACGCCCTTGCTCATCATATCGATCCACTTAGTTCACTTAATACTCAGCAGCAGATAAGAAAATGCTCAAAGAATTGATGCATTTTTATAAAATTATCATAACAGAGCCCCACTCTAACTCCAAATCTCCTGACTCATAGGCTATGTTTTTCAAAATTTTGGAAGAGGCACCCTTGCTCATTATAATTATGCACTTAGATTGTGTGTTAAATACCCGGGAGCAGAGAAGAGGATATTCAAAGAATTCATGCATTTTCACTAAATGATATAGAAACCCGCTTCATCTACAGAACCCCTGACCCATGGCCCACCAATTTCAGAATTTTGGAAGAGGCACTCTTGCTCTCCGTAAGTTAACCATGCACTACTAAATAATCAGGAGCAGAAAAGATTTTCAAAGAATTCGAGCATTTTCACTATACGATCTATATAGACCCACCCCAAAACCAGAATTCTCGAACCTGGGGCCATAAAAATAAACAATAAACAATTTCCCGATAATGACACATTTTACGCAATATTTTGACAATTAAAGATAACGTGTAAAAAATGTACAAAATGAAATATTGGACATTTCAAAACAAAACTGAAAAAAAATTGTTGACGCAAAGAAAACTGACATTAATTTAAATCGTCCTTTAAATGGCGAAAACATTTGTTATTTTTTTTCCTCTCTTTCCACTCAAAAAGCAAAATTTCACATTATTCAAGAGAAATTACATAGAAATATTAGAAATATTAAGTGTAAACAACTTGTCAACGGTAAATGTGCAAAACATTCCTGAATAAGGGAGAATTAAGAAAAAATTACTTTACCTAAAGCAATATTGTTTTGAAGAAAAGTGTCTTTCCCTTCAGTGCTTGCTGCCTCGCATTTTGTCTATACATAAATAATCAACAACCCCAAGTTTTCCTCTTCCCACAGGTAAACAGTATATATATGTACAAAATTTTTTACAGGAAATAGTGTCGTTTTACATACGACTTCCGCGAATATGAAAGAAGTGACAAATCTTGTTAATGTTTTGAATAATTAATGTAGCTGTAATAACTGTGTTAAGATTTCTCCAGATCAGTTTCGTCACATAACAAACTAGCTAAAATTACTCAGTACTGTCCATTGCACAAAAATATGTGGAAAATCCTTGTAATCAAGTTTTTTGAGAAAAAAATTATGCGTATGTCTTATGGTGCAATATGAAAGGGTCTTAGGAATATCTCAAGGTGCCGTACGTTCCGTCCTAAATATTTTTTTTTTCTTTTTTGTAAAACAAATATTACATGTAGTTCGTATTCGCAGTTCCATCATATGCAATATAGTCATTATTAAAATGTTTTAGCAAATTAGTCCATTCAAATCTTAATTACAGGTATCACGCTGAAAAATAATATATTCATAGACATTTGTATTACTTGATAAGTAATTTATGAGCAATGAAGCACAGAGCTATAGTGAGGTCAGCATTCCCTTTTAAATGAAAGAACAATAAAATGAGAAAAGAATTAGGTCAGTATTAGACATGTTGCTTGTCGCTCTATGTCTCCAGACAATGAACAGTTCTCTCTCTTTCTCTCTGGTGAAAGGGGGGGGGGGGGGGAGTACCGCGCTTGCTACAAGATTGACCTTTTTTTGAGATATTTCCCATGAAGTGTGTATTAAACCACTCAACCGACACATGTAACAGGTTGGTGCTACTCAATTATCAAATGCTCAACTTGTACATAAATCTGGTTATGAAAATAAAATAAACTATTTACATTTTTTTGATTGCTGTAACAAATAAATAATCATATAGTTAAATGTCAAATAAAAAAAGTCAACATATTCAGGGGGTGGGATGTTGGAGGGAGGTGCGGAGAGATTCAAGTCATATTTTATTTTTATATTCTTTAGCCTTTTAACCCCCCCCCCCCCCAAAAAAAAAGGACCAGTATCTTTATACTCATTTTCAAATAACAAACTCTGTAATTCTATAATTCTAAGCTGTTTTGCTGGGACTAGCTCTTTATAAATCATCCGAATTATGTCTTAGGATAAGCTCATTGACGTCTTAAAGTTAAGCCAAAGCTTCCTAATATAGGATAGCGGCCTTGGCCCCTTTTAAGACTAAGACATGTCATAAATTCGTCGATCCTAAGATAATTATATTTCAGTCCTAAGACAGCTTCAAAAGCATAACTGCCAAGCGCTCGGCATTTCGAAGTGAAAGTTGCGGGTCCTTCGGATGAGACCTTAAAGACCAAGGCCCCGTGTCACGGCAGACGTTGGCACGGTAAAGATCCCTCACTGCTCAATGGCCCTGAGTGCCGAGTAAAGGTCTAAATTTGAAGCCCTTAACCGGTATATGGTGACGTCTCTATATAGGTGAAAATTCTCGAACGGGACGTAAAACAACATACAATCAATCAATCAATCAAAAGCATAACTGCAGGCGAAGAGCTAGTTATCTGGACTTATTTTGGGGACCCTTCCTGAAAACATTTCAGGTTGACAACCTAATTATCTGGACACTCTCTGACAAAATTCGATGTGAGGTACAAGATATCTAGATTTATCTGGAGGTCAGTTCCTTAGACAGCTTTAAAAGCATGCTGTTGTTAAAGCTGAACACGATTGGTAAAAGGAATGTGTCCGCCATATTCGACTGGTTTCTCGCTATATCTGAGGGCCCCTATATAAAGCCGCTGACTTGGTCAATGTTCATTGTAATCAATCGTCACTGGTGTAGATGGACGTCTGCTATACAGCACTCGGTAGCGACAAAATATAACTGTGTACTTCTTGTAATGCAGAAAGAAAGATACCAAAGTTGCACAGGTCAGTGCAGTATACAAACAAACACTTGTAAATACACGTAACTGCAATAAATGTAAACAAAGGTAATGCAAGATAAGCAGCACGAACACGGGTCGCCACTCCACGCCGATATCCGTGACAATAAAGCAGTCAGGTGTAACGAATACAAAGATCATGGCCGTAGGAACCGGGGGGGGGGGGGCACGGGTGGCCGTGCCCCCCAATAATTTTGCCGATATATAGAGTACTATAGTAAACATAGATACTATATGCTTGTGTCCCCTCAATAAAAAGGTCTGATGACCTTTTTTTCGCTTGTTAAGGAATTTTTGGTAGCTGATGACTTTTTTTTTTTTGATTGTCAGAAAGTTTTTGGTAGTGCCCCCTCAACTGTCAACTGAAAAATGTATGGCTGTGCCCGCCCCCCCCCCCCCCCCCCCCAACTGAAATTGCTTCCTACGGGCCTGATTAGAGTATACCCCGGTTCTGATATCGTAAATAGCAATATCGAAAATGGCGTGTGCCTATTTACGAGTCGTGTTCAGCTTAAGGATTTGTTTTTAAAATATTTTTTAACTACCTTTTTTTTATATTGTTGACTTCAGTGTACAATTGCAAGAGTAAATGAGTAGTTATACTGCTCAGAGATTTTAAAGGATTTTCATATAGTTTGCTGATTCAAGAGGCCCATGGGCAACAACGCTCACGAGAATAACTTTGGCCGTGTTGTTCTTCATGAGATTTCCCCCTTGTAATACTTATTGTGGCCCCACCCTAGCCCCAGGGGCTATGAATTTGAATAATTTAGAATCTACACTACCCCAGGAAGCTTCCACATAAATTTCAGCTTTTCTGGCCCAGTGGTTATTGGGAAGATTTTTCCTATATATTTCAATGTAAAACTTTGATTCCCTACTGTGGCCCCATCCTATCCCTGGGGGCCATGATTTGAACAATTTAGAATCTACACTACCTCAGGAAGCTTCCATATAAGTTTCAGCTTTTCTGGTCCAATGTTCTTCATCAGAAGATTTTTCCCATATATCTCAATGTAAAACTTTGGTTCCCTATTGTGGCCCCACCCTAGCCTCGGGAGCCATGATTTGAACAATTTAGATTCTACACTATCTCAGGAAGCTTCCACATAAGTTTCAGCTTTTCTGGTCAAGTGGTTCTTCATCAGATCTTTTTAGTGACATCACCCTATTTTATCTTTTCTTGATTATCTCCCCTTGGAATGGGGCTTGGCCCTTCATTCTATCAATTTAAACTCCCCTTCACCAAAGGATGCTTAGTACCAACTTTGGTTAAAATTGGCCAAGTGGTTCTTGAGAAGTTGAAAATGTGAAAAGTTTACTGATGGACGATGGGTGATCAGAAAAGCTCACCCAAATATCTGTCCCATCAGAATATAAAATAGGAGGTGCACAATGGCACTATGTAATAAAGATTCTGTGAAAGCCTCAATAAATTTTATGCATTGATATAGGAGGAGTTGTCGATAAGAGATGGGTACCCCTAAGTATGCTTTAGCTTTTCAAGTGGGGGTACAATAAAGACCTTGGTTTTTACCAAAGGCATACTTTTGTTATTGGCTTCATGGAAACATTCTACATCATACTGGACGCTGATATATAAACAAATATAACTTCATAAATCTGCTGATTGGATTGTATTAAATAACAATAACACACTGGATTTTGATTCATACAATGACATCATATCCAGCACACTAATATCCTAATCATTTACAAACATTATCTTCAAGTGAAAATCTTATTTAATTTAAAATAAAATGCATGCAGTAATGGAAAAAAATCAGAATCAATATTTACAATTAACTTAATATTCATGGAATATATAATAATTTCTTATAAATATAGGTTCAAATTTTAAAATTGGTATCTTCTACAACAAAATCAAAGTTTCATATACATGTGTTTTCATATACTTATTTATCTTTAATATAATGAGTATGTAAACAATTTCAGAAAAAAAAATCATTGACATCCTTTATTTATCTAATTATATCTTTGTTTTTCAGATATTGTGATTAACTGACAATTACTGCATGTAAATAACCCACAAAATTGACCTGTAGTACACCAGTACATGTATATTTTTTTAAGATATTTTTCATCAAACAAATTAATTGGATATTTCATTTTGAAAATAATCTCTTGGAACAGTACACTTCTCAGCTCATACCTGGAAAAGTTCAATACTTTTTTTTATTACAAGGAACATAATCCGAGATCAGTTTAGTATTGTAAATATCATGTTCTCTAAAATAATACAGGTACATGCATGTGTTAACAGTTACTCTATTTGGCTAGCCCCAAATTACAATACTTAGTCATCACTTCAAACAGACGACTACATGTTTATAATTCATTAATTATTTCATAAGGATTTAGGTTTTTTCCAGTTTGACAATATCAGATTATCATGTAGCATATTTATTCTACAGAGTCCCACTGACAAAGCTGTAGGAATCCTGCTAATGTGGTACCGGTATGTTATTGATGTCTGACAAAACTGTAGGAATCCTGCTATTGTGGTACCGGTATGTTATTGATGTCTGACAAAACTGTAGGAATCCTGCTAATGTGGTACTGGTATGTTATTGATGTCTGACAAAACTGTAGGAATTCTGCTATTGTGGTACCGGTATGTAATTGATGTCTGACAAAACTGTAGGAATCCTGCTATTGTGGTACTGGTATGTTATTGATATCTGACAAGACTGTAATGTGGTACTGGTATGTCATGGCTATCTCCATATGTTCTCAAATACTTATTAATATCCATGTGGTGATTTAGATTTGTCTGGAAAAAAAAAGAAAAAAACATATATAAGATTTTTCTTTTTTAAAGACTTTTTACAACAATATGAGCTGAAATTTTTTATGTCAGAAATATTTCTTAAAAAATTAATTTTCTAAAATGAAGATTTATATATTTCTGTACTTCTGATGAAGAAGTAGAGGCTCTCAAAGAAAACTACATTATTGTTTACCTGTACAAAAATAGATTTCTTATGTACATGCTATACTTTACTTTCCTTATTTTCTTCTGATTTATTGATCACAAAGGTTCAAGTTACATGTACATGCAGAATAATGATTAATTATAATAGCACATTTTTTATAGCATTAACAATTTTATTAAAAAAACATTTTACATTGCTTCATCAATTTTAGAACAGAATTTCTGGTGATATAAATAACAATTTCATGGAAAAACAGCAGACAACAAGATGTAGTTCAACAAAGTCTCACCATAACCAACAGAACTTAGATCATTCATTAGTCAATGGATAAAATGCTTGAATTTAGCCCCCCCCCCCCCCCCCCAAATCTTTAGTTTCTCAGACCAAAAATTTCGAAATTCAATGTGGCAGACAGGTCTTTTTTTTTATGCAAGTATTACCTCTGAATAAAATGATGATATCAACCGATTCTTACTTTTTAATACTCTGATATTACATGGGTATTTCCCTTTCAATATATCAATAAAATTGATCAATGTGGCAGTGTTTGATCCAATATAGTAGTGCCTGACAAACTGAAGATTAATTTTTTTTTTTGCCTTAATGTCTAATTTTAAGAACAAAACATATTCATGAGCTTCTTATTTGGGTGTGCTAGCTTATGAAATAAATTCCATGTAATGATCCTTTATTTTATCCAAATAAATTATTTACTCAAAAATGAAGTAAATATCCCATAAAAAAGGTTTACCCTACCTAGAACAACTTTAAAATGGAGATTTCAACTATGAAGCAATTTTCAATTTTTTCCACCCCCCCTTTTTTTCAAGTCATAAATTTGATTCATGATGAGCTTTTCTTTTGACAAATCAGCCTTTTGGCCTTAATACAAGATTTTGCAAGAAAAACTTGACAACTATAATTTTTTTTTTTTTTTTTTTTTTTTTTTAGACAATCTACAACTGACAAACTTGGATATATAATTTAACCTCTTACCATTGTGACCGAGAACTAACAATATTTATAAATTAACAATGATTTCATGAAGAAGAGGAATCTGTAAGTGCAAATTTCATGCTCTTTATTTTCATTATGGTAATTAAATTAAATACAACAGAATGATTTTGCAAAGAAGAAATGAAAGCAGAACTTGATCAAGAGGCAGTTAAAAATGTTATCACATTCCCATGAAAACAATAAAGTACAGTACATTATACACAACAGTAAAAATTAGTGTTGTCAAATCGGACGATTTTTAGTAACCGGTTACTCGCTTACTTTTCCGATCGAGTAACTGGTTACTCGGATGATTTTTTCATTACAGTTACATGTACCATATCTATTATTTATCTCATCCTTTACCTATCAGTAGAAATAAAACAAATGTACTGCGTATGAACTATTTACAATTACAAACTCAAACACATACACAATATCTTCAAAGAATTTTGATTTTAGATGTCAATCAAAACGAACAGTTTGTTTTTGTTTAGGTAAATAATTTTATCGACACACGAAGAAAACATATATAGTCGTCAATCACCATTTTCACAATGGCTCTCGATCGTTACATTTTTCTTTTCAGCCCCTGATATATGTCGCGATCAAGGAGAATTAAAATACCCGTAATTACTGGTTGATTCGTAGAGTGTCCAGTAAATGGCTGGTTTCGGAATAATGTTTTAATCTTAGGTGATTTAACATATTTGAAGTCCCACTCGTATACAATAACTCCGATTCACATAATTTACATTTTACAGATCTCAAATCAGCTGTTCTTTTAAAATACTTCAAAGCTTTATATGTCTGTGGCGGCATCTTATTAAATTATGCTCCTCCTTTGACTAGCACAGGCATAAATGAGGTAATTATAACTCAGGTCTTCAAATTTTTTATACCCCTGGCAATCAAAGCTATCAATTATATAAAGTGTGAAAACTAATCAAAACAAATCAATCTTATTTGTGAACCACTAGATCAAGTCTAATGGTAAATAATTTTAGGTAAATGTGTCATTAAACATTTATAAACAATATAACATTTATTTTCTACGTATTTACTATGTAAAATGTATTTTTATCCGAGTAACCGAATAGCAGTTTTACTAACCGATACTCATATCGTTCGATGGTTAACCGGGTACTCGTTGACAACACTAGTAAAAATCATTGCTGATATCGTGTATTAATTGACTTGCAGTAAAAAGAGACGTTTGACTGTGGTTTCTACAGCTTAATATTTGATTATATTTCAGTGTAAGCACTCAAGTATCTATCCCTTCATTTTGCAATTATATTCAGGTGGACATATGAAAAGATTGGGAAAGATGGGTGTTTTTGGCATGAAACAGCAGGAATAGTGTGTATGAATCATTCACAGTTTAAATGTCCAATCGAGCAGACAATTTGGAAAGCTAAACATAATTGTAAAAACTTTATGAAAGTTATACACATAGGAAAATCTTATATTAATCAATACATTGAAATACCTTGTCAAAAAATTGAGGTAATTAAGTTAACTTATAATAACAGTTATGATATCAAAGTATCACTTCACATTATTAATAAACACCTATAAGGTATGGTAATATGGTATACTGGCGGATGCAAACGACAAACAACTTGACTGTTAAACAAAAAATAAAAGCTCCATAAAAGGATTGAACCAAAACTGATTGATACCTCCCCTCAACGGAGAGATAACATATACCAGTGTGGTATCGCTGGTATTAAAACGACTATGAAGCAGCACATTTATGTATGATTTTTTGGAAAAATTTCTTTTTTGGTGTCTCTGGGTCTTCTCTCCATTTTTCAGAAATGTTTGCTCATTTCTCTGAGTTAAAAAGCACACATATAACATTTTCAAAATCACAGAGCATTGACCCAGAGATAGCAAATTTAAAGAAAACACTTTAAACAAGAGGCCCATGGGCCACAACACTCACCTGAGTACCTTTAGCCCTGCTGTTCAGCATCAGATTTTTTTCCCAAATATACATGTATTTCTATGTATTTTTGATTGTCTTTTGAGGCCCCACCCTATGCTTAGGGGCCATGATTTGAAAATAAATGAATCTATACTAAGAGAGGATGCATCCACATTAATATGATTCATCATGGCTTTGCTGTTCTTGGGAAGGGAGGTTTTACAAATTTTTCCCTATATAATCCCAATTGTGGCCCCATCCTACCCCTGGGGACCATGATTTGAACAATTTACAATCTACATTACCTCAGTAAGCTTTCACCTGAGTTTCATCTTTTCTGGTCTTGTGGTTGTTGAGAAAAAAAAATTTTAAGGACAGACAATACAAACAAAAAAAATGGATGTCTGGATAGGTATATATTTTTTGACTTATTTTGGTTGTAAATGATTAGAATAATAAATTTCTAAAATATTAAGAAAATGTAAACTTTCTACGATGCTTAAAATTCCACCTTTCTACAACCACCCTTTTAATCTATTCAACTTTTTGTCACTTAAAATCCAATTATTGTGAAAATTTGAATGAAAAATAAAAATCTATGCAGTTAAACTTATTCATTTTACTTATACAAACATGCTTAAAGTTGTTATTTTCAAGATTTTTGATAACAGTTTGTTTGTATCATCTGTCCTTAAAGGTTTTCCCTATATATTTCAATATAAAACCATGATTCCTTATTATGGCCCATCTGACCCTGGAGGACCATGATCTGAACTATTTACAATCGTCACTAATTTAGCTTTCAAATTAATTTAATCTCTTCTGGTCTAGTAGTTCTTGAGATGAAGATTTGTCCTATATATTTCAATTTTCAATTGAATCTGAACAATTTAAATTCTACACTACCTTAAGAAGCTTTCACATAACTTTCAGATTTTCTGGCCCAGTGGTTCTCTTGGAAGTGGGCTTGGTCCTTCATTTTAAAAATTAAGAATCCCCTTTACCCTTGGATACTTTGTACCAGCTTTGGTTTAAATTGGCCCTGTGGTTCTCATGAAAAAGTTGAAAATGTGAAAAGTTTACAGACGGATGGACAGACTGATGGACGGACGGACCCTGGACAACTGGTGATCAGAAAAGCTCACTTAAGCTTTCAGCTCAGGTGAACTAAGAAGTAACATTTTGTACCAAATGACTCATCTAGCCATATTTAACAAACCAAATCACAATATTTGTAAAATATTTCCCTTTCCTACATCACAAGAACCTGATACATCGATAGATTGCTAAAATATCCTGTGACAGGTCAATGAAATTTTTACTTCTCAAGTGCACCAAGATTCCTGCCAAATCCAAATCAAATGTTTGCATTCTGTTTTTGTTTGTGTGTGTCTCTTGATTTTGCTTTGTTTGCAATTTTTAAGAAAAAATTTGCAGATTTTTTTTTATGTGACAGTTGTGCAATATGCAGAACAAGATACACAATATCCTATCTAGGGTTAGTGTTACATAAAATGAAGTCAATGTGGCAACAGATTATGACCCTAAGACATAGAATTGACAGAAGCACCAGACAAGGACATTACCTGAGTATTGGCTGTTGTTGAAGGGATGGTGCAGAAGAGAACTGCTAGTGTATGGGGGGTACAGCCCTGTAACGCCATCAGAAAGCAAAGCGTGGGTTAGACATTATACAGCAGCATCAATTAACAGTCACTGGCTAGATGATATCTCTTGTGTCTCAATATGCTTGTTAGAAATACATATAGGCAACTGATGCTCTTATTATTTAAAGTTTTAAGACATAGAGAAAAGCAAAGTGCAAAGAAAGTAAGATTTAATCACCAGGCTTAGTATCTAGTAATTTAGAAATAAATCAGCTTTTGTATGACTACTTGAATCAAGATTTCTTGAAATACATGTACTTTGCAGTATTGATTTTAAACAAGTAATCTTATTTACATACATGTATCATGCAATGGTACTTAGTGATTTTCTCTTTTCTTAAATGTCTTTACACATGTTACTGTTACCCTATTTTCAATAAATAATATGTGTTGTTTTGAGAACCAAGTGATATAAATTTACGGTGAGATATGAGTGTTCACCTGAAAGTTTTGTTAACCAGCTGTGCAGTAACAAAAACACACAGATTTATGTAACGATAAACTTCTGATACACTTACAATATTAGACTGTGCACTTGCTACATGTATAACCAGGTATGATAAACACTTTTGATAAATACAGGTGAACTCTTACCTGGATGAGGTTGTCTTGTCTGAAGTAGGGGATTCGGCATGCCAGGTAATAGAGGACTGGTTGGAGGATACATACCTGGAATTTTTAATAAAACCTTATGAAATCTTATCAATTGATTGTGGAGTCAAATTTCTTTACCATACCATAACATGAATGGAAAGAACATTTTACAACAGGAAATGGATTTAAAAAAAAAACAATGAAAAATTTATGTTTCCAGTTTTACAAAAATAAATTACTTATACTATAAAAATCAATCTACAAACCACCAGGGGAGACAACTGAAGGAGGAGGTAAACTGGAGGAAGCTGCTGAATCCCTGGAAAAGTTGGAGAGTTTCAGAGTCTGGTATCCAGGAGTAGGGTTCGAGAGTGAGGGACTTATCATACCTCCAACACTGGACTTATGCTGGACAGTAATGGGGGGCACATTCCAGTTCTGTGGGGACACCCTCTGCTGGGGTGAGGATTTGTTGTACACAGAAGACGGAGAAACAGGTTTCCCTTGGTAACTGGTGGGTGAGATCTGTTTCACTTGGGAATGTGAAGAAGGTGATTTAGAGACTTGAGAATTAATCATTTGTTGGATGAGCTCAGCAGTTTTACTGTCCATTTTAGGAACTGGATTACTTGGGGACAATGAACTCTGTCCTGTTGGTTTTTGAACTTGCATAGGGGATGTTTTTGACACTGAAGACAATTTGTTTTGAGCAGCTCCCTGACCTGAGGGAGTACCTGCTGCAGGCTGGACAACTCGTGCTGTGCCTGTGGTATTGAACAGAGACTGGGCTGGCCGACTGCCTGCTGAAGCCGAGGGATACATCACTATTGTTTTTGTTTTATCACTTTTTGGTTCTGAGGTTGACACTTTAACCATTCCACTAGCATTATGCATGATATTGCTAGAAGTGTTTGATTTGTTAGCATGTGCAGGAGGTAGATTTACTCCACTTTCCATCAGAAACTTTCTATATACATCATCACTTATAGTTTGTCGCTTTGTACTGGTAGTCTGACCTGGTAAGCTTGACTGAGGTTTGCTTTGATGTGCTGGAGGTGCCATTGTTTTAACCTCTGGTTTTACAACCCCTTGATGAGAGAAAGATGGGGTCACAGGTTTTGCCTGATGGGCAGCCACTGACTGAAGCCTGTTCAGTAACTGCTGTTGAGTGTAAGATTTAGTCTCTAATGTTAAATCTTTCTTCTTGGGACTAACTTCCTGAGATTTTAATGCTTCCTCTGACAATTGTCTCTGTATCAATGATGAAGCAAAAGTCTGGAATTGTTCCATGTATGATTTGCTGCTAGCACTAGATGGATCAGATTTTTTCTTGCTGTCAGGTACTTGAGGAGTGAGTGATGCTCTAAGTATGTCATTAACCTCATGACCCCATGATTTGTCTAGGTATTTCTGATTGGCTGCTGATGAAGCCAACAGGGACAAAGCATCAGACGACATGTGCACTTCTCCAAGTTTTGATGCAGTTCCAGGCTGCGGAGAAACATTAAGTTTAGTCGCAGACTGTGGAGAAACATTTAGCTTAGTAGGTTGTTTTCCAGCATAATTATGAACAGCCAGGGGGTCAGGCTTTACTGGTTGACTGGGGATCTCTGTCTTCTCTTTGTTAGAATTTTCTTCTGCTGGGGGACGGAGAGGGGAGGATCCTGGTGCAAACTTTGAGGCAGTAGATGATGACTGTGAGTTTGGTGTGGAATGCATGGAAGAGGTTTTGTTAACGATTAAGTTTGCTTGCTTCTTCACTTTTTGTCTACAAAATGATAAATATTAATGCACATTTACAGTGTAATTTTAAATTCTTTGAATAAATAGCAGAAGATTACTTAATACAATAAATTATTTTCATGAAATCTGAGCTTTGCTCCAAAGGATATGATCATTACTTACACATTTGTCCACTGCAAATGAACTGATCTGCTCTCTTTAATAAGATTCCTAAAAGAAAGGTTTGAAGTTGCAAAGTTTCCTCTGTAAAGTTTTACTTAACATTTGACATCATTAAATAACCTTGAACAGCTATGATGTTTAAATTTCTGCCCTACCTAGTTTGCATCCATCCTTTAGGCCAGAGTGGTTTGATATCCTTGTCTAGGAACTGCTTCAGGTATTCCTCCGCTGACTGTGTCTTGGTTTTCATCAGGTCAAAGCTCTTCATCTTGATACGAACTATATCACACAGTAAAGACCTGAAACAAGTTCATTTGACACTCTTAATATTGCATTCTAATGCAGCTATTTTGTAATCTGCATTTTGATTGGCCAATACACTGGTGTTTAAGGCATTTAAACAAGCATTAATGAGAGTGAAAGCTTTTTGATTGTAATGTCATAATAGAACAATGCAAAATTATGCTGTGTGACATATTTTGCATGATAAAACTCATCAAAATAATAAGTTAACATCAAACAAAATACATCTATTGCATTAAAATAAAAATAGCTATCTTTTTTCTTGTATTTTCTCTCGTTAATGGTGATTTAACGGTTGCAAATATCCATTTTACCAGCTCCGCTTATGTGTTGCCGGTTAAACCTGGTTTGCGACCGTTTCATCAGCATAAACAGTTGCAAATAACAAATGAGAAGACAGTTATTCCCTAATTTATGTATTCCTCCAGCACTATAAAATGTGCAATAATAAAAATAGTATTTTTGAATAGCACAACTGGGTCTACTGGGTACTATTTCAATAAACCTTTACGTGATGCTGAGTGTCTACAAAACATGAAAACAATGCACTCCAAGAGCAAATAAAAACAGACATGTGATTGGTTGTTGCAAATTCAGCTGCCTAATCAAATTTCTCCATAAAAGGTACAGAGAAATATGGAAGTGTGTGAGGGTCCACAGCCTGTTGGCCTACTTGTCAACTACTTTCAATTGTCTTGTTGGATTTATCCATGATTCATCATTACAACCAACAGTTAAGCATTGAATTCTTATTATTGCATGTTATCACTCGTGTAACAGCACCTGGCCATGCTGGCAAATTGAAAACTGCATGCTAGCAAGGTACGATAATTTGTCAGTAAGGACAGGTGCTGCTATACGACCATCAACATCCAAAAATAAGAACTCAATGCTTATATTCACATTCTCTAATTTTCTTGCATTATTAATGTTTATTTTATTCATCTTTTCATCTTTTTTTTAAATTTAGCACCTTTCAGAACTGGTGTGGTTAAAAGATGTAAGAGCTGTTCTGATCATGCTGATGTGGAAAGTTAAATAACGCAAATAAATATTACGCGGGAAAAAATGACAAATTTATTTTAAACATACAATTGTCATATATTAATTATAGAGTAATTTTTTTTAAACTAAATTGAGCAAAAACAGGATACATTTTGGTGTTCCTGGTGTATTTAAAATGTATGGAGTTCCTATTGTGTATTCTACCATGCCTTGACAAGCTTTCCTTTGTGTAATAGGGGTTTGAATGTTGTAGATTTCCAATGGATTTCATAGAGGAAATTACACTGAATGTAAATATGTGTATATGAAATGCTTCAATCATGTTAAAATTTAAATTATACAAATAACCCGTTCTTACCTGATACTTTCTGTCCAGATGAACTTTCTCCTGGGTCCTTTAGGTGCTCCTCTCGTACTACTCCCTGTTATATATTAAATAATGACTCCTCCTTACCTGATACTTTCTGTCCAGATGAACTTCTCCTGGGTCCTTTGGGTGCTCCTCTCTTACTACTCTCAGTTATACACTAATAATGACTTCTCCCTACCTGATAATTTCTGTCCAGATGAACTTTCTCCTGGGTCCTTTGGATGCTCCTCTCTTGCTACTCTCAGTTATATACTAAATAATGACCCCGTCCTTACCTGATACTTTCTGTCCAGATGAACTTTCTCCTGGGTCCTTTGGGTGCTCCTTTCTTACTACTCTCAGTTATACACTAAATAATGACTCCTCCCTACCTGATACTTTCTGTCCAGATGAACTTTCTCCTGGGTCCTTTAGGTGCTCCTCTCTTGCTACCCTCAGTTGTCTTTTCCTCATCGCTGTCCTCGGTGTCATTCACGCCCTCTTTAGGAGCCTGCTCCTCTTTTGTCTCCTTCTCCTCTTTTTGTCTGAAAATCACAATTTTAATTACTATATGTTAACCATAAAGGAGCTTTATGATGTCCACTCGATAAATTCTTAAGTACAAAACAGTAAATGAGATTGAAAAACTTCAATTTGGTTATTTTTCCTTAGAGGGGATTTATAGTCCATGCGATAAATTATAAAGAACAGGAAGTGTGATCCATTTTTTCTATTTTTCATTTTTCCTTGTGATTCAAAAAAAATTAGGACCAAATAAATTTAATTCAGAAATTTTAAACCCTTGGATTAAAATATTTTGAAATCTGATCCTGATTCTTGCAAATGATACAGTTGTATTCAATAAAAAAAATAACCCAGAAAGTGAAAGTGGGACAAGAAAATTCTTCCAGGATTTGTGGTTGGATATAATTTTTGACTCCATGCCAAAGGTTCAGGGATAGAAAATACACAACTCCTTAGAAAATAACAAACCATGGAAGATCCTGAATTTATCATTCCTGTGGCATTTTATACAAAGTTACCTGGGAAGAATTAATTAAATTCCCTTGTTGAGTAGAAGATTTTACACCTCCAATTATTTACTATTCAGTGGAACATATTTTAGTTCTTAATAAATGAAAAATTAGTCTCCCTTTGCTAGTCTTACTTTTGTAAAAAGGCTTGGTAGTCTTGCTCATGTCTTGCCTGTAGTGCAGGCATCATTCCATTTATGGCTGAAATTAGAGTAGAATATACAAGTCAAACCCATGCTATATGCTTTAAGTGGTGCTGTAACTTCTTATGGTAGCCCTTTCAATACAGCTTCTCATTTTATCAAACTTAATTTGCTGATATAATTAACCTTCTCTGAGTTTTTGCACTGGTTCCTTAAGCTGATCATCCTGTTCAGACTGCTGCAGTTTCTTGGCTCGTTTTAACAGGGTATCTTTGGAACAGGGCAGGAAAGCAGCCAGATGGCTGAAGATACTGGACCTCTGACCACAGCTACCCCAACGTCGGGAGCCTGTCTCCACACTGAAAGGCCAAACAATAGGAGGCTCAAAAATATAAAATAATCATAAATCACATTTCAGAATGATGGTTGTCACTTACTCTAGGAGCATACTGTTAACTTCCTTGGTAAAAAATTTGCATTTTCCCTCTTGAGAAGTTTTAGCAGCCTGAAATGCAAGAAACTTTTAAATTCTTTCTGAATTACAGTGTAATAACTTCTTGGAAAAGAACCTTATTTTGTTGGAAGACAATGACATTTGCTTTTTTTGTTTTTGGTACTGACCTGCTTCAGTTTTTGGATGGTTTCCTCCAATTCTTTAGGCATGTCAAGGGGAAGCTTAGGTGCTGTGGCTTCATCAATGACTTTCTCATCCTTGCTGTTAGAATCATCTTTGAAGGGATTATCTATCATGGATTCTATATTCTTGTCAGAAGCAGCCATGGCAATGACAGAGTCGATGACAGCACCAATCCTTTCATCGTAAGACTGGGCATCCTGGGAGGAATCATCGTTAGAAGAGGGACTAATGAGATCCAGGTCAAGACTTGTTCCATTGGTCTGGCTAACTGACATATCCCCCTGCTGTTTTAGAAGTTCTGCCACTGTCGCCTTCTTCCTGTAAACAGCAGATTTCATATGATTTTCTTGATTGAGGGGTTGTGCTTTTGACTACATCTACTCCATGTAATTTAAAAAGTCTACTTTTTTGCAATTTTGAATGTTGAACTGCGGAAAACACCATGCGTGTCTCTCCATATTATTTTTTGATTTGTTTCTTGTTTGTGTGATTCATTTCATGTAGTAATTATCTTATTTCAGGATTTAATTAATTCAGTTAAATTATCATATTTATTTCTTTACGTTTTATCCACATGGAGTTATTTACATGAATCAGTATTTCTTGTGGTCAGGGCCATATTGGATTTCATTGGTTGTTTAGTTTCCCTCTCTTTTGGTTTTTACTAATTACTATTTTTGAGATTTTGGTCTGATCGGAAGCAGACATCTTGGCTTCTTGATATTTCTTTGTTTATTCATATTGACTGAATTATGACATGACCAAGACAGGACTAAATGTAAGTTTACTTTTACTAATTTCATTATCTCTATATAATTGTTTATTTGCTAAATTCCCAAATACAGTCAAACCTTGTTATCTCTAACCTGATGGGACTGAGAAAATACTTTGAGATATCCAGGGTAAAATACATAAGGAATAAGCGATTGGGACTTCCCAGGGATTTTTTTAGGGTCTCTCTGGGGCCGAAATTCGGCCCCATTCCCAATGCTGAAAAGTGCATGTTTTTCCCAAAATCATACCTTAAAATTCCCAATATGAAAAAAAAGTATTAGGTTGTAAATTATTAAAATAAAATTATGACAAAAAGGTGTTTATGTTCTCTATGTACGATGTACCAGCCATCCGAGGACTTTCGAGAAGTTATTCGGAATACTCCGGATGTTTGCATGCATACTTTTTAAAGTGGGATCGATGTTTAAAAATTAAAGTCGGGATCGTTATCTGAAAAATAAACGTGCATCATGCTCATGTCAGTCTCTCCAGTTTGCTTAGGACGGTAATTTTCAGGCTGTGTTGAATCGCTCTTATTCTTATAAACTGGTCAAACAATACTGATTAACCACTCATCTGGAACAAATCCACTATTAAATGTTATTTGAAAGAACTTCTTGCATAAAGGTAATAAAGATGACGAATAAATATGTTCATTTACAATGTTATCATACCCTGCAGCTTTGCCATTTTTAAGCTTCTGAATTTCAACAGCTGCTATTATTTCGTATCACTAAAGCTGGTTTAAGCCAGCTTCATACTACATGTATAAAAAAAAGAAAAATTACTAAATATTTGACTTTTGCTTGTTTTTTCCTATTTATTTGTATGAAGATATTTTTCCCAATTTCAACCAAATATCGCTATTTTTCCCAATCTTGACGGCCCCGGCCCCTGGAATCAAAGGGTAAAAATATCCCTGCTTCCAAATCACATCGACATCACCATGGTATTCGAGATATCAGTGTTTGAGATACCGAAGTTCAACTATAATAACATTCTAATATAAAGTATGAAATTCAATGTTCAGTCTTTGTGATTATTTTATGACTATGTAAATATTCAAAGTAATGATTGTATGTACCGGTATCAGTATATTTTATGTTTGTGAGAACAAGTGTAAAATGCAATAGAGTTATGTATTATTCATATACAGATCACTGAGTAGAGATCTTGAAATCATATGTACATATTTTGAGTGATGGCCCTATATCACATATACATGTAGATATGATGTACATATTTGAATATTCCTTATATAATTATATTATTCTGGAAAGAGCTCAGTATATTTTGATCTCATTGTTTTATTTATTCCAGAGTGTTTATACTTTGTACATATTATTAATTAAGAAAGATAACTCTTAACGTTTCATCTAATGATGTATCAGCACAATTAAAGGGAAATAACTCTTGATTAGACCATGCTATATGGCAAGTCAAGTATTGTTATTAAAAACTTATTGTTGTTATTTTAATTTCAGAGCTGTGATACTGATATTTGCTGAAATTAAATATACATATATATATCTACATCTACAACATGGTGTTTATTCTTTATCATCCCATATCGAACCACATTTCATTTGCTACACTTAGTAATGAACTTAAACATTGATTTAGTTCAAGTAACAAAAAAGTGCAGTTATTGAGCTTATATGAAACCACTAAATAGAATGTGTATCCCGTATTACATTCAATGTACCCTAGTACTCCGTCACCAGGGTCCTCTACAGTATGCCAACGTATAAAATACAATATTTTTCCCCAGTTTAGTTTTTCTGTCCCTTTTTCTTACATTTGTAAACATAAAATTTAAAATAGTATTAAGGCCTAAAAAATTAATAACTTGGTTCTCAGGCCAGTTTTCTCAAAAATAAATCCGGGAAGGAGGCTGTTCTTTTTGAATCTGTTAACTTGGTGGCTGTATTTGCAATTTTTAACTGGGCCAAAAGTCTGGATCATCTTGATGTTTGTCAAATGTTTTACTGAAGGGAGTATCTAAACTGCAGTCTGGGATTCCATTTTTTTTTTTGGCACCGTACCAGCGCAGGAGAGAAATTTTATTTCATTCATTTGAGGATAAAAATGGGTATTGCTCATTGTTAAATGAGATGCGGGCAGTCCTGAGAACCAAGTGATTAATTTTTTAAGGCCTAAATTGTGTTTTAAGAAAACTATCAACAATTGGAAAAAAAGAGTTAATATACCATATTTTTTATGTAATAATGTCACGCTAATGTTTTCTCCAAAGTGTAGTGTATTAAGACAAATGTTGACAAAAAATAAAATATGTTTAGCTGTATTCAACATGGTATATCATGTTAAAGCTTTAACATAAACCTTCATTAATTAAAATGGCTGGCGTGAAAATGAGCATGTCGATGCACATGTCGGAGATATCAATAGAATAGAGCATAAAAGAAAAGATGCTGATTTCACATAAAATAGAATAGATAAAGTGTAATTTTTATTTGTTTTTGACACATTTTTGAACTTGACTGTGACAATATCTTGGCAATATCTTGACTGTAGATTGTCAACATGCAAAAAATGATGTCACAATCTCACATTTGTTTCCCAAAAGTGACGATGTTAAGGTAGTGATGGAGCTGGGGGGTGGGGGTGGGGGGTGGGGGGTGATACACATATACATGTACTATAAATAAAAATTACTGAAATCATGACCCCTTACTTTTTGGGTTGTTTTTCTTTCTCTGTGGGGATCTTTGGTTTCTTAAATGTCTTCTCTGACTCTCCATTTAGTAACTTTTTCTTCTTCTCATTTAATAAATTTCCATCCTTTATCTTCCTCTTCTAATAAATTCAAATAAAATACAGCTCAGTATGCAGAAAATTATACTTCACTGTGTACCATTTTTAAAGAAATGTATAAATATTTTTTTTAGATTAAAAAAAAAAAAAAGAAAAGCAAAATATTTTTCTTGTCACCTGAGGCTGGTAGTTTCAATGAACAAAATCAAAAGAGAAAAACTGACCTTTTTCTTTCTATGTTCCTCGTTTTCTGATTCGGAATCAGATGCTATCATCTGTACATAACAATCATGTAAAAATGTCAACATTCAGAATTAAAAAAAATAAGGAGAAACAGCAGAATGTTTCTTTTTTTAATATCAATCTTACCCTCTTCTTCTTTTTCTTTTTAAGAAATATAAATTCATCCCCTGAGTCATCAGACACCTCCTTAAATCCGAGTTTCCCTGAGTTGATGTAAAATCCACCTAATGTGGTAGTCAGACACAATGGCACAACTTCATCATACTGCAAGGCAAAAATATCAGAGTATATACTTTTGCATGTTTGGAAATTAAATTTCACACCCCAATCCACCTTCAACTTTTTTTCTTTCCTTTTCTTTCATTATACCACCCAAATAAATTCTATTTTACATCAGGTTGCTGTTTGAAAAGCAGTTTAAAAAATTGGGAGAGAAGGGGGGGGGGTTAATTCAAAATACAATGTCAAAGACAAATTATCATTATCATTTCAAGTGTGTTGAAAATAATTCTAAAATAGTAATACTTGATGTAACAGTTTATATATACAATATACACACCGCCTCGGAGTTGTCAATAAATGGATCCTCCTGATCATATCCATCTCCCAGGTCTACTAGGTCAGTGATGCGCCCAGCTCGTTTTTTACCCTTTTTGCCAGGCTTTGGGGCCTACATTTCAAACAATAAGGTCAAATATAAAAAAGAGTGATTCTGTACATTTTCACTGAAAATTATTTTTGAACAATCAATTATTTGAGAATTTCATTATTATATAATCCCTTTTCATAATTGTGTCATGAAAATCAGTGATAGATTAAGTCTGCCTCTGTGAAAATAAAGAAAATAACAACCCCACCATTTCGAGATGAATTATTGGATAAATTTTAATCTGATTTCCAAATGGCTTTTAAAATTGTAATTAAGCTGAAACTACTGATTTATCATCGTCGACTCCTGGCTTGCAACGATGCTGATTTAATTAATGGACTAAAATACTCTGCTTAGGCTTAGCTGTCTGCAATCAGAGACATTTTCTACTTACATATTTTTCTTCAAAACTCTTTGCCAACGCAGCAATTTTTTCGTGGTCTTCGTCATCCCCAAAAGGATCATCGGGATTTGGGATTCCTCCATTTGGTGTTTTACTATCAACCTACATGCAAAAAAAAAAAAAAAATCAGATTCAATATTTAAAATGCATAAATCAGATTGACGCGGACAATATTCATTGTTCATCTAGGCCTATACTTTGTTTATAATGAATTCATAATTATAGTTTTCTGCTGAATAATTCTTTTCATCGTCAAAAGCCCATACACGATCACATTCACCCCTTCGTTAACCTAAAATTCGCGTGCAATTCCCTTAAATATTCTATTTCCCGTTCAACCTTCGCGCATGCGCGATAGCGCGCAACCCCGCCCTGACCCGCACCCCCGCTCCTCACCCCACCGCTAAGATAACTTCACCGCTCGATTAAAACCCCCCGTATACCGCAATGCGCGATAAGACCGCTCAACAATACACAACTTCACGCACCAATAGCGCTCCCCGAGTCCCGATAATTTTATCGACAGCAAAATCAATAGGCCTATAACATCTTGCAGTATTAATTTTCTCTAAATTATTACTTATCATTACATAAGTTGAACTGCAAAGATGTAGCAAAAAAACTAAATCAATCGATAAAACAGACAAAGTACATTTGCTAAATACATAAATGTGTACATGCATACTGTACACTTATCTACACCTATTTTTAGAGCATTGACCTACATGCGACCCCATATTATGGTCCATCTATTGTTTGTTAATATTTAATGTTCTAAAACTTAATCACCAATTATCTAATTCTGAGAGAAAAAATACAAAGTTCACATAATATGTTAATCTCAGAAACAAGCTTTTCTGCTGTCAGGCTAGCAGTCGACAAGAAAAATTCCATTGAGCGTAAATTGTTAATCTCTTTGTGTTTACATTCAAAATGGATCATCAAGAAATAATAAAAATATTCAAGCAAAAATCATCTTTCAGTTTAAAACAGAATTTCTTCGGAGCTTGCTATAGGAATCATCCAAAACCTAAAACGCAAACATACTGTACTAATGCATCGTAGAAGGTAGACTTGAACAGTGTTTGAAGAGCAGCAATCAGACCTGACGGTAATATTAACCTTTGTGACCTTTGATTGCACATATTTGCGCAAGCTGTGCATTATACATCATGTCCAAACTATGAACAAACCAAATGAATAAAACTCTAGAATGTTTTCAATCATTTTACACAAATCTGAACACATTGCATGAAGTGCTGTGCGTGTGTAATGGGTGAACATGGGTAGGCCTACTCTCTTTGTCAAAGGAAATCTAGTCACTCAAAATGGCGTTTTGTTGGCTAGTTATTCACTCTGTGTAACTCAGTGTTATCTATGGCTTGTTCAGCCATTTTCTTCACATATGCCATTATAAAACATGCTGGATAGCTGAAATTCGTATCAAATTTTTGGAATCCCCCCTATCAGTTGTGTAGTGAAAAGTTCAAAATAAAATTGGATAAAGTTTTCAGAATTTGATATTATTACACAAAAGTTTAGAACTAACATGTATCTTAAGGTTTTCATGAAATAAAGTAACCTACCAACTCGTTCTTCACGAGATCGGTGTAGAAAAACTCTGGACATGTTGTATCAGTTGATGGCTTTAGGGTCAATTCTAGGCGCACAGTTTTGGGGTCCTTTTTCTTTGGTTTTGCCTCCTTCGATTGTGTAACAGTCGTGAAAGACAATCTCTTAGGTTCCGCCATTCCGTCCAATTGAAGTATCCATCTGTTTATGTCTTACATTCGAGAAAAATATTTTCATCCTCCAAACGGAGCTGACAAATATAGCGCCATTTTGTTGTATCGTGACGTCACTAAACCATGACCTTCGATTTAGGCGATACTAATTTTCGAGGTAGTTTCCAGGATAACCCTCTAAAACATTTTATATACCAAGTCTTCATTCATTCAATTGTATATAAAACGTACAATTACAACTTAAACGCAAACAATCTTTTCTCAGAGAGTTGTCTTTAATGCTTTTAACGTGCGAAATAAAATGACTCAAAAGGGTCTGATCACCCCCATGAAAAGTGGAACAATCATAAACTTAGAAAACCCCTTTCTATATTTATCTGGATGGAAGGAGAGATGTTCTTTCTATCCAGATTTAACTAAAATGGTGTTTCTGATCACATAGAAACAGATTCTTATCAAATCATTTGCTTGATCAGTTATTAATTTATCTATCAAAAGAAAAAAACAATTTTTTGGGGTTTTCCCTCAAGTATATGTTTATTCAAAATATATAAAAATCTAGTGTTTTAATAATAAAATTAGGGCCAATTATTTCTCTCTTCTTAATGCTGTCCACATCAGCGGAATGTTTACAGCAGAGAATTTCTAATTTAGAACAATATTATAGGGCGATTTGTGTTCGAAAGTTAATTAATATTCATTTAAGAAAATAAAAAAAAAAGAAGAATGTGGAAGAAAAAGTCATACAATCTGTAAGCCAAATTCCAAAATAAAATTTATTGAATGTATGGTATATCTTCTTAAAAATATTTGGTTACTCATTAATCTCGCCCAAGGATCATAAAAACGATGAAGTCAAATTTTCAATCACTTGTAAAATGTTTATTAATCATTGAATCAATCTCTAAATTTGCAGATAAGAACACTTTTGTAAAGCAATATTGAATACTATTTTAATTTTGTTCTGCTTGACTTTTAAAAAAAATTTAGTGCCACATAAAGATTTTGACTTAGGCTTAAGATGTTTCATGATCCTGGAGCATGCATCTGGAAGTTTTGGTATTTCTAAATCTAAAGTATATAACACAGCCTTGAAAGGATTCTATATTGAATTAAAAAAGACTTTCATAGTCTAAGTTTAGCAGCTAGAATTAAAACATTTACCCTTTTTTTTTTTTGAACACACAATAAAACCAATTCTTTAATATAATTATGAAATATGGGATGGAAACACAATCTCATGGAAAAAACTAAATCACCACCATTTGACTCAAATAATCTCTTTATTATGAGAAGCTTCAGTTAAAATTTCCATGTGTGTTTTTGTTGTTCACAAGAAAAGTATGAATTTTGCTGTACTGTCGGAATTAGGAAGATTTCCTCTGCATTACGGTATATTAAAATCAATTATTATAATTATTGATACAGGTTTGAAAATCTGAATGAGTTTACCTACTTAAGGATACCTATATATGTAGTAAAACTATCAGGGTAATCACGAGTAGAAAGGATTCTAGAATAATTTATATGTAAATATTGGATAACAATCAGAATGTGGTCAATGTAAATTTATGAACATTATAAGAAAAAAAACCTCTGTAACAAATACATGTACTCAGAAAATTGGTTTGATAATCAAATCAAACTGATGGATGGCCCTTAAAATTAATAAAAGATGTCCTATGTTCAATCATATTACAGTTGTTACTTTTATTTTGCTCATTTAACACAGATTCAGAAATATATTACCTTGCCCAAAATGTGACAAGAGTAAAGCAATCCTGAAATATAAGACTTATAAAACATCACTCAAAGTTTTATATGAGCATTGTATTTGACCTGGTTCAACATTTAACTCTGGATTTTTTTCCATACAACAAATATAAAGGTGAATTTGTGTATTGCACCACTAAGCAGAACCATCTTGCACCGCATGGTCCAGGTAAAGGCTAGCTTCTGTGAGAATTGTCCTAAAAACTTAATGACAGGACATTCAACACCATGAACTCACCTCAATTAATAATCATTTTATACATTTTTTTTTGTTTCTTCTTTGAAGTGCAATTTGGATTAAGCAGAGCATGAGTATAGCCAGATAGAAGGAGGGGGATGACAAAATTAAGGGAAGGGAGGTGTGAAAGTATTGCTTTTTTTTTTTTTTTACTTCCACATGGCCATGCCAATTTTTCAATAATACATCTCCATCTCTCATTATTTTTTTTTTTCATTCTTTATAGAAGGAGAAGCAGATTTTTTATATATTCATATGTAAAACTTTGATCATATATTATGACTCCACCCTACTCCAGGGGGTTTAATTATTATGATGTTATGATTTGAACAAACTTCGATCTACACTACCAGAGGATGCTTCCATATAAATATGACTAATCATGGCTTTGCTGTTCTTGAGGTGAAGATTTTTAAACATTTTACCTATGCAAAACTCTGATTGCCCATTATGACCCCTACCTACTCCCAGAGGTCATGATTTGAATAAACTTCAATCTACACTTCCTGCAGACACTTTCAAATAAATATGACTATTACTCTGGTTTTGCTGTTCACGGGAAAAAGATTTTTTTTGAAAGATTTCTCCTATAAATTCCTATTAAAATCTTTTGATCCCCCATATCTGCCCCACCCTACACCCAGGGATCATGATTTGAACATATGTCAATCTATACTACCCGTTGATGCTTCCATAAAAATATGACTAAAAATCACTGCTTTGCTGGTCTTAATAAGATTTTTAAAGATATTTCCTATATATTCCTATGCATAACTTTGATTCCCTGTTGTGGCCCATCCCTACACCGGAGAGTCATGACTTGTACAAACTTATATCTACACTACCTGAGAATGATTCTGTACAAATATGACTAATTATGGTTTTGCTGTTCTTGAGATTTTTAAAGATATTTCCTATATATTCATATGTTATGTATAACTTTGATCCCCTGTGGTGGCCCCACCCTACCTCCAGAGGGTCATCATTTGAACAATCTTGAATCTACACAATCTGAGGATGCTTCTGTATTACATGTAATATGATTAATCATGTCTTTGCTGTTCTTGAGAAGATTTTTAAAGATATTTCCTATATACCAATAAAACTTTGATCCCTTTGTGGCCCCGTCCTACCCTCAGGGGTCATGATTTGAACAAACTTGATTCTACAGTATGTAATAAAGCTTTCACACAAGTTTTATCTTTTCTGGCCCAGTTCATGGTTCTTGAGTATTTTAAAAGATGCCATCAAACTTTCATGAATTCTTAATTATCTCCCCTTGAGAATGTGGCACTTCCTGTAAACAAACTTAAATCCCCTCTACCCAAGGATGCTTTGTGGCAAGTTTGGTTAAAATTGGCCCAGTAGACATAGAGAATAAGTTGAAAATGTGAAAAGTTTACAGATGGGTGCTGGATGGAGCCTCCTGCTCAGGTGAGCTAATAAATGACAATAATAAATGTACTTTAGGATCTGGAATCTTCTATTGGGTATGAATCTCTGAAGCAAGTATGAAACCCAAATGTCATGTTAATCTCTTCAAATTTTGTCCAAAACTTTACACTTAGTACTTTCTTGGACTTGATCTTCCAAACTCTGGAAGATGATAAATGGAATCATCAGTTCATATATTTACAAACATCTTAGGAGCGATATTGTGGCCAAACCCCCTGATCAGGCCTGAGGGAAAGGATCAGAAATAAGAATACCTACTTAAAAATATAACAAAGAGCTTGATTAATTTTTGGTATTAATCTATAAATATTTTCAGCAGCCTGCAATGTGTTTTAGATCCTCACCTTTACTGCAGGTCTACATCAGATAAACACATAACAATTTTACAAAATGAAGCAATTTTGTACCCCTGCTTAAAATTTTGGACTTCTTTTTGTAAGAGAAAGGTACTTTAATGTTTTAATATGAGGCCATGTTGCTCTTTTAAAAAAAGAGGCCCATGGGCCACAATGCTCACCTGCATGAGTTACTGCAGCCCTGCTTTTTTTATATCCCCTTGAAAAATTGTGACCCAATATTATGGACCCACCCTAACTCTAAGGGGTCTCTGAATCCGCACACCATTGGGATGATTTAATATAAATATGGCTAATATAGCCTTGCAGTTATGGAGAAGAATTTTTTCCCCCTGTATACACACAACAAGTTAAATTTGATCCTGATATTAGCCACCTCTACCTGGGGTCTTTAATTAAAAAAAATAAACTTACACAACATGGGCATTTGAATTAAAAAAAAATGACCATCAAACTGAATTTTTTTGGAAAATTTCAACTACCCGGTACTTATAAAATATTTTTCACTTATATCATCATATTGCACATGCATTCTAGTTTAAAATCCTGAAGTGGCAATATAATAGAAAATTGGATAAAAAAGTTTCAGATTTTTTATTAGTAAAATTTCTTTTGAAAAAAGAAAATATCATTACACCTTAAAGACTTTCTAAAATACATAATCACAAGAAATTATAGTTTTTTTTATGCTTCAAAATGGTAAAAGGGGTATAGATGATTAAACCTAGACCTTGATTGAGTATCTTCTCTTGTATATGTGAAAAAAGTTGGCTTTTTGATTGTTATTTTACATTATTTTTTTCAATTCTGGTTTGAAAAGTTTTAATATGAAAAAAATATGAAGCAATAAAATTCCTCAAAAGTCACTTTTTTGTCCGTTCAAGTCAATTCTTTAAATCTAAGCCAAACAAGGATTTTTATATACAAGTTCTCTTACAAAAACAAGATTTTGAAGTAACCCTATGTTACATTATTGTGTTGCACTCCTGACATCTGATATGTATTTTATTTAACATTGTTTTAAAAATTATAACACACAATAACCCATTCTTACTTTGTAAATCAATTTGTCGTTTTGATATTTTTCATCTTTTACGGCAGGTTTTTCATATTTTGAAGACCTTAAAACATGATTATTTGCAAAGTGTAATATATATAAATTGTATTTAAAACTATATGTGACATGATGAAAACTATTCCCTGAATTGACTGTAAAATTTCTGAAATTTGTTGAGACATAGTGCTTTGAACATCAAATAGTATCAAAAATTTTCTTCAACTTATCTTTTAGTAAAGA